TGAAAAGAAGGTATATTCTACTGTTATCGGGTAAAGTGTTCTATAAATGTCAGGTTGATCAAGTTGGTTGATAGAGTTGTTCAGGTCTTCTATAGCCTTACTGATTTTCTGTGTACTAATTCTGTCAGTTACTGAGTGAGGAGTCTTGAAGTCTCCAACTATAATTGTGGATTTGTCTATTTCTCCTTTTAATTTCGTTGGGGAAATGGTATTTCCTTATCATTGAGGCAACAGGTATAAATACTAAAAGCAGGTAATGATAGTGAAAAATTTGGAAAGTTGCCGTTGACAGAGATCAAGTGGTTCTGGAAGTCTAATTATACATTTTCTTACTGATCATTAGAAGCTACCACCTACATCTTTTGTGCTGCAGTCTCCAGCTCTAACAAATTAATAAGTATTTAAAACTAATATCGACATTCTACAGTGTATTTCTGCTTGGCTTAGCAGCTGCCAACAAATATTAGAGAAATATCTCACTATAATATACAAAGGGTTATTCTTACAACACATGCGATATTTAATTACCATCTGAGATTTTTCAGTAGAAGCCTTATGATAGTTTCTCAAGGACCTCTTCTGTTTATAAGCTTCCTGCCTTTAAAAAATAGATAAAAACAAAAAAAATGTTTTTCCCAGTTCTATCAAGGCACAGATAACCTGCACAGTGTTGTCTCAAACTAATATAGTCATGAATTAATATTCTCATTAATTTCTTTATCCAATGCATAAAGCTTGATGAATAAATGACCAACATGTCCCAATGTATACGTCTAAGGTAGTGATTTTAATGTAAGAATGAAATTGAATATTTAGTCTGTCTTGATATTTGTGCATAATGCCTCTTAAAATTTTGACCCAAGGGTTTAGGGTTCTTCTCTTTGCCCCATCTTCATGTGAAAATTGCCTGGATTAGAAGCAGAAAAAACAAGGTCACCATAATGTAAATTGATGCTATTAAAACAGTGGTCTCAGGAAAGGGCAAAATAATAACTATAATAATACCATTTAATTTTATGGTAAGCATTATGCTAAGTACTCTACATGCATTATTTCATGTAAAAATCACAACAGTCCTCTGACAACAGTAGTGTTTTTCTCCCCATTCTACAGATGAGGAGATTGAAGCTGAGAGAGATTAAGTAGTTTGAACAAGGTAACAAAGCTAGTTAAGTGACACAATGGGATTTGAATTCAGTTTTATTGACTTCAGAGACCACCTTCATAACCACTACATTCTGTATTGTCATTAAACGTACCCACACCACCTCCTCTACCTGGAATCGATGCATATGCACTCTGAGAATACAGCTGAGAAGAGTAAGGAAAAAATAAAAGGATGCAACGTGTCAAAAGTTTAAGGGCTGCGACTTCCCTGGTGGCGCAGTGGTTAAGAATCCACCTGCCAATGCAGGGGACACAGGTTCGATCCCTGGTCCGGGAAGATCTCACATGCTGAGGAGCAACTAAGCCCGTGCACCACAACTACTGAGCCCTCGTGCCACAATACTGAAGCCCGCGTGCCCTAGAGCCCGTGCGCCACAACTACTGAAGCCCGCACACCGCAACTACTGAAGCCCGCGTGCCCAGAGCCCGTGCTCTGCAACAAGAGAAGCCACTGCAATGAGAAGCCCGCTCGCCACAACTAGAGAAAGCCTGCACACAGCAACGCAGCCAAAAATAAATAAATCTATATTTAAAAAAAGTTTAAGGGCTAAAACTCAAGTACTTTACACAGGAAACGTACTTAAGCCCTCCTTCAGTACTATACTTGTACTCTTACTTTACTTACTGCACTAACTTGCTTGGTAATCTGAACAGCAAGTTTACAAAACAGAAGCAACGAGGAAGGTGATAAGGAGCATCTATGGAAGGTAATTGATAGAGCCATGAGAGCTGACAGCTTAAAAGTTCATAAAAGTAATTAAAAAATAACAGGTTAAAGTATTTGGACTCAAGTTCTAAGGATCTCTGTAAGCGGCAAAGAAGCTCTGACTGTCACAGAACTGTAGCATTATATTATGCCTGGTGTGTAATGAAGTTCTTACGTCATCAGGAAAATGTGTAATTATGTGCAGGGTGTTTCACAGAGTGGTAGAAAGAGTGCTATCTTAAATTGATTTTTTTTAAAAAAGAATATTTGGTTTTTAAAGCAGTAAGGCCTTGATTACCTCCAATACCTCAGCGGTAGGAATAAAACCTTAGTTTGTGTTGGTGTTGCTGTTACTTTAAGTTGTTTCATACAAAAGATGCCTCATTTTAGAGCTAAAGAAACCACGGTGCAAGCACCTGCCTCACTGTCCAAATGGCTCCCTAAAATTCTGAATAATACAGTTTTACTATATTATTTTGGCAGGTGAGTGGTACAAATGAAAAATAAGAACCCAAATAATTCAGGCATTAATCTGGGATTGACAACTATTAGTTTAGAATGCACTCTGAAGGCTTAATTGTTGGGTAAGGCACATCATAATTTTCCTTCTGGCCCACCAGAAATGGAAATTGAACTATGTCAGAGGGTCAAATATTCTCTGTAGAGGAGAAAAAATAGGAAATGACCACCAGCTAGGAAATTTTCCTGTTTGGTAACTTATGTGCTTCCTACAGTCTCTGGTTCAGATATGTGAGTGATTAACTAAGGATCCATGTCCATCACATTATTTTCCTACTGAGCTACGTTGTTGTAAGCATATGCTCACTAGCAACAGAAACCCCGTCAAGTTCCAAACGGGAAAGAACTCTGCTTCAGGTGCGTATGGAGTGAAACAGCTCGGGATGAAACAATGCAGAGAGGGTTTCTCATTTAAGGATTTAAAAGAAAGAAGAAAGAAAAAATAAACAACAACCACAAAATCTTGCCTGTCACAGCTGCTTAAATTACCTAGGTATTTTCCCTTTCTCCCAGCCTTTTTGTTGGTTTGTTTGTATGTTTTTAAATAATTTATTTAGTGTTTTTAACATATTTTCAGTGATCACACGATAATCATTTATTCACATGAAGAGGATATCAGTTGGAAATCAAGGTTAATAGGTGGAACTGGAACCATACGTTTTCAAAAGAATAGAGTATGCTAAGCCTTCTATTAGGTGCTAGAAAAGAGGGCAGAATGCTCATGTTATGTAGCAGGTGACATTTAGTCAAATAGGATCACAATCCGGCATTGTGCACAATGAGACCATGAGATTTAGGAAATAAAAATATTTGATTTGCATTTTTTCCAAACTGAATATCTTAGATGAAAATGCTCTTTTAAAAAAATAGATTCTTAAAGGAGGATATTTCTGGTACAGACGTGGGAGCCTCAGCAAAGGAAAATACTCTTTCAGGGTGACTTGCTAAGGACACAAAGTGTGTTTTCTCTCTACTTTGACCAGGGAGACAGTGTTAGATCCTGATCAAGGACACAGGGTCCTAGTTTATGAGGTATCAGATTCACTGCACAGCTTGAAGATAACGGTTCAAAGATAATGCTATGTTATGGGCTGTTGTGGTCTCATGTTATCGCTGGAATCCTAAAAGAGGTGCCAAAATACAAAAATGTAATCTAAACACTTAAAGCTTCCAAAATGTTCACTTTGGGAAGAAGAAAAAATATTCACACTTACAAATATAATTTTCCCATCATTGGGAGAATTATGACTACATTTTTTCTGAGGTCAGTTCACTCATTAGAAACAAAAGACAGATCTTCTGATCCTCCAGGTTATCAACTACCAAGTAAAGCAAAACTGAATACAGAAAAATCTGAATTAACTCCGCCGCAAAATCTTTACCAAAACTTCTAAGAAGTATCTACTTGAAATGGGCTTCAACGCCTTTTCATGCTGACTTCTGGTGAAACCAAAGTCCAAGGAGCTCAAGAGAAAGGAAAGAAAAGATAAGCAAAAGGACTAGTTAATGCATAAACTGAATAATCCAAAGCCCCAAACAATCCACAGCTACAGTATTAGGTTGTGTAATTTGTAGTAACAATGTCTTGGCTGCAAGAATGATATTTAATTGGAACACTTTGTGAAATTTTACTTTATAACGTTAGAAAGATTTCAGATATGATTTTTTTTGTAAAGTAACAATAGCAAGCTTAGAAAATCACTTTGCTTCAACTCTAACATCCCCTTAAACTATAATTTATTACTTAACCATGTACACAATAAAATGTTTATGTTTAATGCTGATTTTATTTAAATAAGTAGAAGAAATTGATTGCTGTCCAAAATTAAAATAAATCAGGCAATTTGCTTACAATCGCATATGTTGAAAATAAGTAAAAATTCTGTGCAAACATACAAAGGGAGAATTTACCATTTTCATTAGAGAAAAAATTATGTGGGGGAAAGAATAGTAATGTCAGAAACACAGAAGTCTCTTGGGTAATGTTTTAAAAATTAAATGTTTTCATTCAAAGATTTTTAAAGAAAAAATAAGCCATCCAATTTGGAAGAAAGCACGTTCTAAGTTAGTACATTTTTCATTAATTTATCAAAATTCATTCTACAAAATTACCAGCATGCACCACACCAATGATAAGTTAAATGCCTACCGATGTACTATATCAATAACAATAATTTTAATATTCTAATCATTTCATAAAATTGAGCTAAATGTTCTGTCCAGATAAGAGAAATTACTTTATAACTGACCCAACCTGTATGATTGATTGTTTTAACCCCAAATATCTTCTGGGGCTGCAGGAAAAAAAAAATCTGTCTGTATTGAATATTGAAGACAACACAGTTTACAAAAGCACTACTTTCCCCATTTTAGTTTCTAATGAGTTACCCAGTGATTCTCCAGGTTACTTTTACTTGAAAATCTGCAGTGAGACTGCTTGAAGGACGAAGCAAAAGCACAATACGTATTTGTCTCCGACGCTGAGTAGGTGATTAGTTGTAGAGATTGTAGAATGAAAATCTGTATTTTTTCCTCTACTTTTTGAAATGAAGTATGACTATCCATCAATACAGTTTGGTCCTCTTGATCTTACTTTTAATTCCAGCTTTCACTGAGTCAGCTCCATTTGGTGTGGTGGATCCGGAGCTCTTTGTTGCCATAATGGGTAAGCTGATGGGAGAGAATGGGACTTCTCAACTCCCCCAGCAATGGGCCATGCCCCATAGGAGGGGAGATGAAAGCTACACTTCATTCTCTGGTGACTAGAGCCTTTATCACTGGATGATGAAACACAGCATCCTTGTTCTGTGCCCATATACATCTGGGGCTCCTTTCTCCTTGATGTTGGTTGCAATGACCCTATACAAGAGAGAAAAGACATTTCGGTATTCACATCACTCACAATGTCCAGCAAGACAGACCCTAATAGTAGTGGGTGGAGAGTAGGCCTGAAATATGAGACACAAATGAACCCATTTTCAAACCATTCTGGACCCAATTTTTTAAAAATTTAAATAGTTAAAAAATTTAAATAGTTAGTAAGATGATTCAAAGGACTGTGCTACCTGACACTGCTACTTAGCTTTCTCTGTGTACCTCCACTGTCCCCATTTGGCCCATAAATGACTTGAGAACAGAGCTCGGGTTTTAAATGCACTTGCATTCCTATCCCCTAGCATGATACTCTGCACTTAACATGCACCAGTTGATGTTGGCTGAGGTCAATGAATATGGCTCTGTGGAGGCACCACTAGTATAGCCTGTGGCTTAATGGGTTTTCCAGGGTAGAGAAAGAATTGGCTCAGAGCCAATCTTGATCTTTTATCTCATTTCCCACTCTACCTCCCCACCTCCAATCTCCACATGCACTTTCACAACAGGCATTTATGAGACGGCTGGACATGACTGGGGATATGATCACTCATATTGGGAGACAGGTATTATGAGTAGCTCATAGAAAATGGGTCAAACTGTTTGCAGTAGAATGAGTAAAAAGAGAGAGATTCTAATTTATTCCTGAGTATTCAGCTAACTGAGTCCTTAGTTCTTGTCTGAGTTTAACCATACTCTTTTAATTGTGCTACTGAATATCTTACAAAATTACATTATATATACCTCTAAAGGAGATTATCTTCATAACGAAGAATTATTTGCTTTTAGCTCCTCAAGAAAAAGTACTATGTAAAACAAGATATTCCATTACATTCAAAAATGCTACTAATAACAACAAAAAACCATGCAACATTTGAAAATGCTAAATGTTTTCATTATCCCGGTTGACAACACTTGTAATGATATATATACATATATATATATATATATATATATATAATATTTATTGTAGTTTTAATATTCAATTCTGAAGTATACCTTAATATCCAGAGCCTTCCTCAAATTAGGAAAGAAAGTTATACTGAATTTGGGTTACGTGGCAACACATGTATGAGAGGGGGATTTGGAGTGAGTTTTTCAAAACAAGAAGCCTATGTTCTCTCTACGAGGAAGTCTGAGGAGAAGAGAATGGTAATACGCATATTTATGAAAGGCAAATATCAGAAAATATAAGTGGGGCGGAAGCACCTCTCATTAGCAGAGGAACTGGTTTTGTCGGCTCAAAGTTTCTCTGAACCTTTCTGAAGGTTTATGATACAAAAAGCATATTCAACCTCGTCCCCTGAGTTAGGAAATACAGCTATGATATCTGAGACCCAAGCCCAAGAAATTTCTCTTAATACAACTCTTGACAGAAGTATTATGTCGAATCATACGTAACTCCATTTCTACTGGAAGCAGATTGAGTTCCAGAACAGCCTGAAAGTGTGGGTTGATTTTACAGCCCCTCTCGCAGGGGTCTGGCTGGATTTCACAGACGGTCAGGCATCTGGTTGAGGGCTAGCTCCTGATAAGACTTAAATACTCCCAAATCCCTAGGAGAACCCCCAGATCAACTTAAATTCACACGAATCCTTCCTTCCAAAACATGGAACACATTTTCTTGAAGCCACTTGCAATTTCACTGGAAGCATACCTACAGCTGCCAATACAGATCCCGAACCCCAAGAATGACCTCAAAACCCAATCTAAATCAAAATAAGGAGTGACTCGTTGTGTGCTTGCTTAAGGGGACCTAGCAGACTGCTATGTGATCAGAGTTTTGAGTGAGCATGGTAACCTCAGGTAAACAGGAATCTAGTCTAAACATATTTCTCTAAAGTTCTATGGCATTCCAATAGAGCCAGCTGCTCACACAGCTTATACAATTTCACTATTCACTGTTTCTGTGTGTAGATGAGACTTTTCACATTCAGGGAAACATTCACGATCCAGGTAAAGATAGTCATTCACCAGGCTCCAGGGAAGAAAACTGGCCAACATCTGCCACCAGGCCGTCCTTGAGCGCTACAGGTTGACTCCCATTGCTGAAGTTTTGATGTTCCTTTATAACCACAAACTGCAGCAAACAAAAGGGAGAGAGAGGACATTGTTAAAATCCATAAATTATCTCAACATACGTTAAATAAAATCTATGGCTACATGTCCACCTTGTAGAAGGTAAAAGCCAAAAGAAACGCCCTGTCAAATTGTCTCTCTGGCTAATGAAAGATTCAGTTTTCAGTTAGAAAGCTTCTGTTACTCTCTATTAAAGCAACCAGCGCTACCCATACATCAATCCGCAAGTGTTCTAAGCATTGCCCACAGGCCAGACAAATAATATCTCGCACATGTATGTGCTCCAACTTTTCAAATATGTGTGTGTGCTTAATTAGGAAAATTCACTTAAACATGTTATCAAGTTCTGAATAACTTGGGCTCATTAGTGGGTAATAAGAACTAATAATGCAACTACTATTTTGCAGGGATCCATGAAATGTCTTTCCATGCTTGAACAGCTTGGGAACCAGAATTCTAAAAGGCAGGCTCAGAAAACAACATTATTTCTCTTTGGTCAACAAAATGATTATTTTTGTCATTGTTTGTACTGTCCACATTCGATTGGGCACTTGCAATGCAGGCTAACCAGAGTTCACTGGCTCACATTCACACCAGATAGACGAGAGATTAAAGCAGATCAAAGATAAAAGGAGAGAAAAGAAGTGACCCCATGCCTCAGGATGAAGGATGCAGTTTGGTGAAGTCCTTCCTTGCCAATCAGTAACCCAGCAGAGAGACTGCCCCAAGGTTCTGAACCAATGCTCTACTGGTTCAGAAACATACCCTCCACATAATGAGCCCATAGCTGAGAAATACAACGAGGAAGAGAGAATAGAAAAAAATCTCCTTGGTCCTATTTCTCCTTGAGAAAAGTATAGGAATAAAAATGAGTAGAGTCGATCAGGGAGAGAAATGTTGGTGAGAGAATGGTGGATCCTCTGAACACGATTTCATTTTCTTATTTTCCACAACACTAATCACCCTACTCCACCTCTCCCTCACTGATGGTGTCCCACAGTAACTCATGGCAAAACTAATACATGACCCACTGTTTAAGGGCACATGCCCATTTTTCTGGCTCAAGTTAAAATCCAGTCCACGGCACTGCCAGTTTTCCAACCACATGCCTCTCTGCCAGAAGAACATAGGTTCCAGGATTCTGGCCTGGCTTGGGGAAGGCAGCTGATGGAACCAAATTTGTTTCTGCTGCTTCTCCTCCTAGTTTGGGTGCTCAGCTCTCTCCCACTCGCACTGATATCTGCAGCAGCAGTTGGTGTCAATGACAGATCTGACGGCTGGGAGACTGAGCCTCTCACCACAGCCCTGAGACAGCATGCTGCTCATGACAGCAGCAAGTGGTTTTGATTTTTTAAGAAATGAGATACAGATTGTGTTTCTCCTTCTCTCCCATGATTTAAATAAGATGAACTAAACTTGCTACCCAAAACCTGAAGGAAGTACCATACAGGCTGACAATGAGATCTGGAAAATTAAAGGGTCCACAAGTCATGAAGCTTCAAAGAACTGAGGACATTCTATAACTAAGTCCACCAAGAACCACACACTTAGGGACTCTCCAGAGACAGGGGGGATCTTAGAGCTCACGTAATCCAAACGCCTTAGAGTCCTGACGAAGAAACAGGGGTTCAGTGACTTGCTGAAAATTAGCCAACTGGTTAGAAGAGTAAAGCCAGAATTCACATTTCTTATTGTATTTCTGTACTCAAGTTCCACCAAAAAAAAAAAAGTATACACTGAATGCCTACAACAGGCAGAGACAGATGGTCACTTGTTAGTCAAAAGCGTAGCCACAGGAAAGCTGTTCTCTGAAATAACGCATGAACTAGATAGAGGCTGGGGAGCGAGAGAAGTGGTGTGGGAAGGACCCCAAATGATGCCTTTGCCCCTTGACAACCTCTCCCTAATGACCTTTTCCCTATGTGCCCACAGGTGTCAATTCCCCACGGACCTGCCACATAGTCCAGCCTCTTCCACAACATACACCACAAATGATACCAACAACACACACTGAACCAGTCAAGTTATCTCTGACGGGATTCTGAAAATGGAAATTCCAGCAATTTCCAGAGCCTGTCCCAAGTCTGCCCTCTAGTGTTCTAAGATCAATTACTGAAGTGGATGATCTATGAAGCATTTTGAACTTCGCAGTTACTATGCTTTTTGGAAAATATACAGGGTTGCCAGATAAAATACAGGATACCCAGTAAAATTTGAATTTAAAATTGAACTTTCAGTATTAGCATGAATTTAACTAGGTGTCCCGTATTTTTATTTGCTAAATCTGGCGACTGTTTTGCTGCTGAAGTTTAAGGACTTAAAATGTGTGTGAGAAAAGAAATTCTAACAAAATTAGGAGCATAATCTTGGGTTTTTAAGACATCCATCTGAAAGGGATCGCCGAAAAATGGGGAAAGACTTTCCACAAACACATAAAAAGCTAAGTTATAGCAAGAAAGTACATGCTAGAAAAAAGATCCCATAAATGTCTCGTGCATTACATTATGGCACTAGTTTAGCTTATCTGATTACTTTAATTTAGGACACAGTTCCCCCACCCTCACTGCCCACCCAGGACCTCCCACTTCTTGTGGTGTTAGGTAACATTAACACCAGCTGGAAGCTATAATAGATTCCAGTCTCTCTGAACTCAGTGAAAAATGAGAAAAAAAATGAACTGGGATTAACGTAAAGCTTTATTGCTTTACATTTCTTGCTTCATGTATTTAATTTCTTGCTTCATGTACTGTGGTCACATTACCCAAGGTTGGAGGCAAGAGGACATCCCAGCCTCGTCATCTGCAGGCCTGATACCGCTTACATCTCTGCTCGACTCTTCATAAGGATTCTTTGGATTTTTCGATAGCAGCTTCTGAGTCCTGCCATAGAGCCAAAATATCAGACAATCTCAAAACAAAATAAAACAGTAGCCTACTCAGTGATGGTCAAGGACAACTACTTTTGCTACTGAAATTTAGGTACTTAAAATGCATGGGAGAGAAGTATTAAGGAAACTAGGAGCCTAACTTTGGGTTTTAAGGCATCCTTACCTGCATTACTTTCCAGATGATGCTTCACGCTTTCCAAGGTACCGTGACAAGGGGTAGGAGGGCATGGGGTGGGCGGGAAGCCTTGCATTCATTCATTCATTTATTCATGGACATATCAATTGAGTACTAACTATATCCTAGGCCCTGTCCTAGTACCGGAGACACAGGAATGGAAGAACAACACAACAAAATCTCTACCTAAATGGACTTAGAATTTGTGGGGAGGGGGTGCCCATGGAAATAATACCACAGCAATTGTGTGACACACACTATATTAGCTTCATTTTACAAGTGAAGCCAGTGGGATTGGAAGATAGTAGTGATGAACCCAAGGCACACAGCTACCAAGGGCAGCCCAGGGGCTGGGTCACAATGCTGTGCCAACTACGTATTGGCACCTGCCATCTACCTCTACAAGGATTATATCACTAGCTGCAGCAGCTGCTGACCTTCAACACCCACTGAAAGGAGTTCAGTGCGGAGATCAGGAAGGAGGCACTGTGGGCTCTGCGAAAAACTGGCAGAACAGGTCTTTAGATAATTAGATATTCTCAGGAAAAGATTTTATGAGCCCGATTCTTGCATCTCCTTGTATCTAGCAAAGCACTAAAATCCTTCACGATGGCGTCTCCCCCTCATGAGTAGCAGTAACCTTCACGAGACTAGCAGCAACCTTCTGCAAAAAATATGTGCTCGATTGCCTGTACTCCCCCTTCACCAAAGTCACATATATACTGACCTTGCCCCCTACCTCTTTGGAGCAGTTTCTCAGAGCCATCTGAAATGCCATCTTCCGGGCTATAGTCCTCATTTTGCCCCAAATAAACTTAACTCACAACTCTCACGTTGTGCTTTTTTTTTTTTTTTCAGCCAACGGATGCAAAGCCTAGGCTCCTTCCAGGTCTATGCAAGGCACGGTGTCATGCCCTGGGGGAGGGGGTGAGAGGGAGGGAGATCTAACATGAAAGTGAGATCCCTGTCCTCAAAGCATAGCCTTGAGAGGGAGAGAGACAGGTACGTCACATACTGAGCAGCCATTTAAGGGAAACCAATGAAGGAAAGGTGGTGGGGAGACCACCAGCCAGCCTCAAGATTCCAAAATAGTGCTGCTATCTCGGGGCAGATGGCATCTTAATTCCCTCTAGGAGTGTAACCCTCAGTCAAACAGGCCTGTCTGACCATCAGAGGAAGGGCAATAAGGAAGGTAGGGGCTGTGGAAGCCCCATCCCAGGAGTTGTGAATTCCATGAGACAGATGGAACCCCATCAGGAAATAGTGTGGGTTATTATTTTTAATCAAAAGCATCAAGGAAAAAAATTGAAGTGGTTAATATAAACAGTTCCAAAGTTGCAAGTTATAGTTTGTGACATAATACTTCCTGTTGATTTTTTTTTTTAAGTCTTTTTTTATTGAATTTGTTACAATATTGCTTGTTTTATGTTTTGGTTTTTTGGCCGCAAGGCATGTGGGATCTTAGCTCCCTGACCAGGGATCAAACCCGCATCCCCTGCATTGGAAGGCAAAGTCTTAACCACTGGACTGCCAGGGAAGTCCCCAACAAGTTTTATGAAGTAATAATAGTACAATACTTTTAAAATTATTTAGTTCCACAAACAATCTTTTCAGAGATACACAAGACAAATAGTGTCGGACAGTCAATCTAGACAAAACAGGTCAGACTGACACAAAGGGAGGAATAACTGATTTTAACTCTTTAAAGAAAATTGCTAAACACACCTAACTGATAAACCCAATGCTAGATCTGTATTTATTGGTGTACGTGAGTGACGTGGCAATATTTAAACTGGCAGTTTTAATTTGAACTTAGCAGCATATTACTTACTATGTGATAGTCCATAGAATAAGAAAAAATACCTAATAATTACAGTACACTTGGACTTGTTTCTTCCTTCCATTTTTCTCTACATTATTTGCCAACCATCCACCTTCCTTTTGGCATTCTGTCCATTGCTTGTTTTGTTTTGGTTTTTTGGCCGCAAGGCATGTGGGATCTTAGCTCCCTGACCAGGGATCAAACCCGCATCCCCTGCATTGGAAGGCAAAGTCTTAACCACTGGACTGCCAGGGAAGTCCCCAACAAGTTTTATGAAGTAATAATAGTACAATACTTTTAAAATTATTTAGTTCCACAAACAATCTTTTCAGAGATACACAAGACAAATAGTGTCGGACAGTCAATCTAGACAAAACAGGTCAGACTGACACAAAGGGAGGAATAACTGATTTTAACTCTTTAAAGAAAATTGCTAAACACACCTAACTGATAAACCCAATGCTAGATCTGTATTTATTGGTGTACGTGAGTGACGTGGCAATATTTAAACTGGCAGTTTTAATTTGAACTTAGCAGCATATTACTTACTATGTGATAGTCCATAGAATAAGAAAAAATACCTAATAATTACAGTACACTTGGACTTGTTTCTTCCTTCCATTTTTCTCTACATTATTTGCCAACCATCCACCTTCCTTTTGGCATTCTGTCCAATGGGATGAAACGCTGATTATTCAATATTCTTCCTACAAATATCCAAGATATTGACTGAACACCAGGCTACAAAGTACAATGGTTACTGATGAACCACTGAATTAAAATTTCAAGTTTTTGGGCTTCCCTGGTGGCGCAGTGGTTGAGAGTCCGCCTGCCGATGCAGGGGACACGGG